GACACTCCAAACGTGGCAGCATGTGGTTCTCCCAAAACATGTAAGGACAACTCTCTTAGCAGACAAAACCACCCCAAACTTATGACATTTTCTTCCAAAAAGGACTGTGCACTTGTTGTGCATCGTTTGAAGATATCGTCTTGGAATTGAGGTGTCATATTTCCGTCTTGATGCCGTGTAACTGTGGTGGGGGGCACCACAAGTCTCAAACCTGTTTCATAGTTCCAAACTGTGGAAAACAAACTCCAGACTGGAACATATCGATTCTGATGACTCCTCCTGGCCAATACTCAGAGGTTGTAGTCTTCATTGGTTTGCTCCTATCTGCTATGGTCTTTGGTCGGGGGCTCACTTCAAACATGCTGTTGGGAGAAAGGACATCATCGCAATGATTGACTATTTGGAACTTATGACATTGCAATTGCAATGTATTACTTCCTGGATCGTTCACAACACCCAGCACTACTGGGCCCACCAACTCATATTGATGATTCGCACAGAGAACGGCGAATTCACAGAGTTGCATGATAATCATGATAGACAGCGTATGCCAGGACGAAACATTGCGGGCTTCTTGGACTCGTTGGACAACATCGAGGGATCCTGACCCAAACTTGCCAATGCCCTTGGTGATCAATCAGCGGTTAAAAGAAGGCAGTGCTCTCCTGGATGTAGGATACAGGGGAAAGATGTAAAATGAGCAAACGCTGAGTGGGGCCAGACCCTGGCAGCTGTTTTTGAAGAAGGAACCATGGTTTTCAGATGATACTAGAAATTTACAATAGAGAAAACAAGGCTACGGCGTCAGTTGCGACCCCTCAGAAAACGCGCATGTTTTTTTTCCAGGCTCTGACGACATAGCGTGGTATTCACAATGTTTTGCAACGGTCACTGCCAATTTGCGACTTGAAACTGAGTGACCCTCGTGAGGCGGGGGAGTTATTTTCCTTTTCCATATGGTTTTTTTGCAAGGTATTTTGACCATGTTGAATAGAATTTCCCGGGGATGCTTTATTTAGTCGCAAATTTTGGTCAGCTTTCCCAAAAGATTCCATACTGTATCTTGCACCCAGCATTGTACCGAAATATGAAGCTTTTCATCATATCCAACAACCGGCCGCACACTCGACGATCCTTGGGATCACGTGTGCGGATTTGAGGAGAGACGTAGCGCTTCAAAAGCTTCAGAAACCGTCAATTTTTGGGGTTCCGTCAAGTCGGTGGGCAAGTGCAAGAGACATCTTACAACGTAGCGTCAATTATGTGGGCAAGTGCAAGAGACATCTTACAACATAGCATCAAGCCGGTGGGCAAGTGCAAGAGACATCTTACAACGTAGCATCAAGCCGGTGGGCAAGTGCAAGAGACATCTTACAACGTAGCATCAAGTCGGTGGGCAAGTGCAAGGGACATCTTACAACGTAGCATCAAGCCGGTGCGCAAGTGCAAGAGACATCTTACATCGTAGCATCAAGTCGGTGGGCAAGTGCAAGAGACATCTTACAAAGTAGCATCAAGTCGGTGGGCAAGTGCAAGAGACATCTTACAACGTAGCATCAAGTCGGTGGGCAAGTGCAAGAGAATCTTACAACGTAGCGTCAAGTATGTGGGCAAGTGCAAGAGACATCTTACAACGTAACATCAAGTCGGTGGGTAGGTGCAAGAGACATCTTACATCGTAGCATCAAGTCGGTGGGCAAGTGCAAGAGACATCTTACAAAGTAGCATCAAGTCTGTGGGCAAGTGCAAGAGACATCTTCTAACGTAGCATCAAGTCGGTGGGCAAGTGCAAGAGACATCTTACAACGTAGAATCAAGTCGGTGGGCAAGTGCAAGAGAATTTTACAACGTAGCGTCAAGCCGTTGGGCAAGTGCAAGAGACATCTTACGACGTAGCATCAAGTCGCTGGGCAAGTGCAAGAGACATCTTACAACGTATCAAGTCGGTGGGCAAGTGCAAGGGACATCTTACAACGTAGCATCAAGTCGGTGGGCAAGTGCAAGAGACATCTTACAACGTAGCGTCAATTATGTGGGCAAGTGCCAGAGACATCTTACAAAGTAGCATCAAGTCGGTGGGCAAGTGCAAGAGACATCTTACAACGTAGCATCAAGTCGCTGGGCAAGTGCAAGAGACATCTTACAACGTAGCATCAAGCCGGTGGGCAAGTGCAAGAGACATCTTGCAAAGTAGCATCAGGTCGGTGGGCACATGCAAGAGACATCTTACAACGTAGCATCAAGTCGGTGGGCAAGTGCAAGAGAATCTTACAAAGTAGCATCAAGTCGGTGGGCAAGTGCAAGAGACATCTTACAACATAGCATCAAGTCGGTGGGCAAGTGCAAGAGAATCTTACAACGTAGCGTCAAGTATGTGGGCAAGTGCAAGAGACATCTTACAACGTAGCGTCAAGTATGTGGGCAAGTGCAAGAGACATCTTACAACGTAGCATCATGTCGTTGGGTAGGTGCAAGAGACATCTTACAACGTAGCATCAAGTCGGTGGGCAAGTGCAAGAAAGATCTTACAACGTAGCATCAAGTCGGTGGGTAAGTGCAAGAGACATCTTACAACGTAGCATCAAGTCGGTGGGCAAGTGCAAGAGACATCTTACAACGTAGCGTCAATTATGTGGGCAAGTGCCAGAGACATCTTACAAAGTAGCATCAAGTCGGTGGGCAAGTGCAAGAGACATCTTACAACGTAGCATCAAGTCGCTGGGCAAGTGCAAGAGACATCTTACAACGTAGCATCATGTCGTTGGGTAGGTGCAAGAGACATCTTACAACGTAGCATCAAGTCGGTGGGCAAGTGCAAGAAAGATCTTACAACGTAGCATCAAGTCGGTGGGTAAGTGCAAGAGACATCTTACAACGTAGCATCAAGTCGGTGGGCAAGTGCAAGAGACATCTTACAACGTAGCGTCAATTATGTGGGCAAGTGCCAGAGACATCTTACAAAGTAGCATCAAGTCGGTGGGCAAGTGCAAGAGACATCTTACAACGTAGCATCAAGTCGCTGGGCAAGTGCAAGAGACATCTTACAACGTAGCATCAAGCCGGTGGGCAAGTGCAAGAGACATCTTGCAAAGTAGCATCAGGTCGGTGGGCACATGCAAGAGACATCTTACAACGTAGCATCAAGTCGGTGGGCAAGTGCAAGAGAATCTTACAACGTAGCGTCAAGTATGTGGGCAAGTGCAAGAGACATCTTACAACGTAGCATCAAGTCGGTTTGCAAGTGCAAGACATGTAGCATGAGATTTGTATGTATATGGATGAAGTGCAAGAGAGCGTACAGTAATGTTGCATCACGTATGTGTGGACGTGCCAATGACGTTATTATCCCACCCCACCCCACCCCACCCCACCCCACTCCACCACCCCACCACCCCCCCACCCACCCCAAGACCGGAGAAGCCGAGGCATGCACAAACGCACATAGTAACGTAGCAGTCCCCTCGTATGGTGACTGTTTGTAGATATCTCCGTTGGGAACACTAGACAAAAAATCACTAAAATCATGATCCAAGACCAATTGAGAAGCATCTGGAAGGTTGGAATTTGTGCACTCAAAGTGGGGGGAACATTTTCAACCGCCGGCCATGTCACTTTGTAAGCCTTCAAGAAATAGCCGCAACACAGCCCTTAGGAAAGTCAACTTTAGTCGGAAATCTATGTGGTATTGCAATGTGAAGTGAGTAAATTGTGTTGGAAGTCAGTACCTGATCTGACATTGCAGTAGCTGCTATAGTTTTCACAGCGCCTGTGTGCAGGAATACAGAGATTTATTTGTCACTGTTTCGGCTTCCAATGAGCACCATCCCTTGCCATGCAATTTGCAGTTACCAGAAAGTAAAGGACTACGTTGGTGTCCCACTTTTTCCAAACTGCCGCAATGGTTGCTGCCCACAAACCGAAGAACCCAAACAAGCTAGATGCTTGATCCAACATTAATCGGGTAGGGGTTTCCTGCCAGAACACTTTTGACCAATCAAGCAGACTGTGTTTGCACAAATGTTCGACTCTGAAAATCTCTCAGCCACAAGTTATTTCCTTCTGGAGTCCATGAGAATGAATGTCAATTCGGGACCACTCTCAGCTTGCTGATCATCAAAAAGCTTGGATTGGTTTATGAAGGATGCTCTTCATCGTTCCTAGGCAGGGTCCGATCCACATCCCGTGGAAGGCTCTCTTTGTCGGTGGTTGCCAATGCAGATTTAAACTTCTTGAGAAGACGCGAAAGCCGCAGTTGTGACAAACCTAAGTGGACCAGTTGCTCTCAAAGCCTTCAGTCTGAGGATGATTCTGGTGTCTTCCTATCGAAGGGCTCCATCAACAACTTTCCGAAAGATGTCTCCAAGACTCTTTTCTTCACAGCTCCTGGGCCGAAGAACTTGAAATACAATCTCAGACCATATCTTTTGGTTGGGTGTTTGTGTATCTTTTGACAGCCGATCAGAGACAGGAGTTACCAGTATCGAGCGTCTATACATAGTTCAAGGAACACAGAACACAAGCAAAGTGGGTGCTGCTGCTTATGGTTCTCTTGCTAACGCATTGGAACCGGATGGAAATGGGGTACCGGCACTGCAATTTGGGAATGTCTTTCTGACGAAAAGGTGGGTATCTCACCGATTTGTGGCTTTCACTTCAGGAAAGTGTTTCGCACCCGACTTTAGAAGAATCACGGGCTTCCAAGTTCACATCCACGTTGAAGCACCCAAGTGTACTCCGCGCGGTCACCCCAATTGAAGTCATGGTGAGAGAGTCCCAAAGCCTGACCCGGCCCACAGTATAGGCTGTATATAGGCTTTATAGGCGGTGTCTAAACAAATTCACAAGACATCACAGTCAGCCGAGCGACACAACAAAGCGAAAGCAATACATTCATTCACAAATTGAGGACCCATGGCGTGTTTCCCTCTAAGACCGAAAATGATCATTATGACTGACCATGTCCATGCTTCACTTGACAAGGGGTTGTTCCCAACTTCCCAAGACCATGCGTCGCTATGTTTTTTGCATTCTTGGTAGCTGGCCGTGTGCTGCGCTGCCGCCTTTGGAAGCACAGATCAACGAAAAGACAGTGCTCCTGCAAGACCTTGTCGGGCTGGAAACCATGGAGGATCAACTGGATCAAAGGGGAGGTTTTGCAGTCCTCCGACATGGTTTGCCCGGAGGAGAAAGGCAGAAAAGACAACAGACTCAAACAAACTTTTAACATCTTTTAACATCTTTAACATCTTTTCACATGCTCTATTGCTGAGACTTCCATGAAGTAGAATCTGGTGCTTTGAAGTTGAGACCAGTTTCCATGTGTTGAACAAAATAATGTTTCTCGGGCATACGAGGAGTAAACACAGAGTGGCATGATAGGCGTTGATTTGCGCGAGTCAGTATGAGGAGATGTGGTCGGGAAAAGTATGTTGCACAAACATGACCAGAATACAATCTACAGACTTCGAGATACTGTCCTTGAACGGTTGGGTTTCGACTGGTGGTTCTGTGGGGAAGGCATGAAGAATCTCTCAATGCCATCATTGCCGAGCCCACTTTTTTCGTTTCTCAACTCTTTGCCCGTGGCTTTGCCAAAGATCATTCTGCTGTTCCGCACGCCCGTGCGGCCGTTTGCCGTTCGGCAAGGCTTCGGAGACAACGTGACGTGGTGGTGGCACAGCAACCTGACTGGTGGAAATGTCTTGGCCGTGGATCAATTGAGGTCATCTGTAGCTGTAGCCCAAGTTCCCGGAGAGGAAGGACTGCAGGAGGCCCAAAAGGCTGCCCAAAGACTGCAGGCAGCTCTTGAAGCGCAAGATCAAGGAGGATCACATGATGCGCTGGACACTTCCACTTCTGATTTTGCTCAGGAAGTGTCGGAAGTGTCGGAAGTGTCAGAAGTGTCCAAGGTTTGTGGTGACCTTGAAGTCCATCTCCCAGCTCTGGACTACCCAAGACTGGGAGATCAATACGAAGTCCATTTTCGACCTGCGCTGATTCGTCGCTTTGAGCATGTGGAAAGCGACCTTCTTGGTGAGGTCCGCGTTGGGAAGTCGGTGACCATCATCAAACATGGCACTGAAAGCCCAGGACGTGCGCAGATCTACACGGAAGATGCCTTGGTGATGCCAGGCTGGGCGTGGTGAGTTTTTGTCAGTTTTTGGTGAGAGTGCCCTCTCAGGCGAGCGTGCTGTTGATTTTGAAGTGGGGGTGGGCTACTAACGTTCGGCTGCACTTGCGCACAGTCACCCCACCATTTCTTCGCAAACAGTGCCACGTTGGACGTGAGGTGGGGTGGGGGTGCTACTGATGTTTGTTCAGTTGCACTTGCGCATGAACCTGGTTCTACCCACACTTTTAACTTTCTCCCTTAACAGACACGCGCACTTGTTGCTAGGCTTTGTAGATTCTTTCTCCTAGCAAATGCATGCACTAGATGCTACGTTTTATATAACTCTGTCTTCTGACTTGCACCCACGTTTGATGCTAGGCTCTTAACTTTCTTTCTTTACTTGCGCAGGCACCTGATGCTACGCTGTTAACTGTATCTCCCAACTTGCACAGGCACTTGATGCTTTGGTCTTACCTTTCTCTTTCAATTTACAGATGCACTGCTCTTGCCTCAACTTTCTCTAACTTACACACGCGCTTGTTGCTACACTTTACCTTTCGCAAGCAACCTACACATGCACTTGATGCTACGTTCTTAATATTCTCTGTATTGAATCTGTTTGGAAGTTATTTTTTGAAACAACGATGAACATGGTGTTCTATGGTGTTCTTGCGTTTGCAAAAGACACCATGTTTTCGATTTTGAGGCCTCCAGGGATTGTTGCACATAAAACCATTGCTTGCAGGAATCTGTTGTTGTAAACGTCCTGTGTTTTACAACACTTTGCTCTTTGAACCTGACAACACCCTTTCAACATATTTCAAAACGTTGCAACTCCACAGGCGCCACATTTTTAGATGCTTTTGGGAGGTTTTGGCAAAGAAACACAGCTTTGAGTCGTGTCGCTTCCGTTCGCTGATCCGCGTGATGTGTTGCAGGCTACATCTCCGATGAGATCAACGAGGTCTCAACACCTGGCATCAGTGGCTGGATCTCCAGCACCACGTACAATGGCTCTCGGCTTTTGATCCAACGAGACTTGAAGGAGACACCGCTCTTGGAGGCTGCACGGTTGGAGCTGGCAAGTGTGGTGCTGGGCACCTGTGAGTGGTTGCTTGGTCCCAACAATTTGTCATTTTTGTCATTTAAAGTCTCCCTATCGGCCCTACTCAAGTGTTCTGGAAAACTCCAATGTTTTCGACCAATTTTTTCAAAGTTTTTTCGGCTCAGGTTCCGACTTTCAGATACTTCCAGCTCCGCGCTCCGACGGGCCAAGCAACGCCTGACAGCTGCCGCAGCGGCTTCACCACTTCCAGCATTTGCAGAGCTTCAGTGCGTGGCCGCGAGATACCCCACGCGTTCGGAGGTGCAGACCGGCATTGAAAAATCAGTGATGAGTTGGCACATGTTGGCACGGGGAGTACACTTTGAAGAGTAAGGAAGGGTACACGGGTAAGGTACATGCATGTAAACGACATAGACTACGGACTACAGTGTGGAACCCTCTGACTCAAACACTGGCAGTCAGTGCTGTAGAGTTCTCATGGAAGAGATACTGGAACTTCCTCACCTGTCACCTTGGGGCTTGTCATGGCGTGTCATAGTGCCAAGTGTTGGACAGGTTCCAGTATGCTGTTGTCCTTTTTCCACCAAGCCCGACCGCTGACAGTCGGAGCCGACAAAGATTGTCATAGCCGCTCCAACCCATCGTATATATATATATAGAGATTATGATGATCATGATGATCATTGCCACAAGGGTGGAACATTTGGACTTCTTACCTCTTTATCTACTCAAGTTTTCCCGCTTGTATGTTATATATATAGGGTATTGGGAGAAACCATGATTGTAGTAACTGAAATAATGGCTGAAAAGGAATGGAACAGTTGAAGCACATGACTCTGCCAATAGCTCCAATCATCTTGGACTCCAGATGCTCTTGCTGATCTTCACGCTGATGACCCTTTTCTTTGGATGTGTGCTCTTCGCGGCTTTGAGTGCGGCCTCTGCTTATTGAGGGCAAAAGAGACGGCGGCCATGGGACCGTGGGAGTGGGAGGGATGCAATCCAGCGCACATGCAACAGTCAACAAGACAAGGGCAAGAAGCAGATGGACAAAAAAACATCAACAGACTGCAGACTGCAGACTGCAGACAGTTAGGTGGAGATTCAGCTCCCAAACTTCTCCAGAAATTCTGACTGTGCTTATTTCTGTGCTTATTTCATCCATCAAAAATCCACCAAGGCAACCAGCTTTGATCTGGGAGACCGGGAACCAGCACCAGAAGAGGGGAAGAGAGAGAACTTCCTCAAGCTTCACGAGATTGGAGGGAGGCGGATTTGATGACTGGGGATGACTGGGGATGACTGGGGATGACTGGGGATGACTGGGGATGACTGGGGATGACTGGGGATGACTGGAGGCTTGAGGCGAGGCGAAAGGGACTGGATGCAGTGTGATGTGAGTTGGGCAATGTGATGACCCTAGGGCCCTAGGGGATCCAATTTTTACAGTTCCACGGAGTTCCACGTCTCATGGAATTCAGCTTACCATCCTTTCCTTATTTTTCCTTTGCTGCAAACTTTTTGCAGATACAGACAAGGTCTCATGATGTCTCATACTGGTCGCAGTACATCGGGACATGACATTTCAAGCTTTCAGAATCTTTCAGAATTTTCTTCCGCGGCTTGGACTTGCCCTTGGCATCCTTGGCATCCTGCTGCCAGGGACTGCAAGGTGCTGAAGTATCCAGAGATCCCAAACCTGACGCGGAAGTCACAGACCTACAGCATCTCCTTTGGCCCCAAACAGTCCACCGATTGGGAGGTGAACCAATTCGTTGTGCAGACGTGCCTTGAAAAAAGATGATTACGTATTGCGATGATGTTACATATATATATATATATATGATTATATATGAGCATATCAAGGTAGAGACTGTTACAAAAAGTCGCATAGCCAAGTTTGAATGGAAATCGGATCTCTTGGTTTCAACCCATGCTGCCTAGGTCTTTCGTTGCCGCGTGTTGCCCCATGTTGCTAAATTGATGAGATCAGCAGTTTTCCAGACAATTTGTTGGATAGCTGCACCAAGGAAACGGGCAGGCACCGGTGCCGGTGTCCCAGCACCTTCCTACGCCTTAAGTTCCACCTACCAGGACAGAAAAGCGTCCATAAGTCGAGACCTTGCTTTGCCGGGCTGCGTCTGTTGGCATGAATTGAATGAAGAGAACCGATGTTTTTGTGCTTGAACTTTCACGGAAATTCTTGGAATACAGAACTCTACTTTGTTTTCGGAAAGCTTTGGAAACTCTTTGGACAAGTTTGGAAAGACATAAATCTGAAATGTAGCCGAGGGATGCCGAAGGCTTGTGTCAAGACTTATCTCCTGAAGGACTTGGCAAGGCAGCGAAGTGCTGCGGAGCTGGAACATGCAAAGCCTGCCTGGACCCGCTACTTGAATGCAATGAATGCACAGGTCTGTGGGTTTGCTACATGTGTTTGACAAGTAAAGGGTCTGATCCAGTCTTATCCAATCTCATCAATATCTCACCATATTTCATCGGTTTTTTCATTCCCGAATGCGTAGCAAGGGTTCCCGTTTCACTCTGGGGGTCTGGGGGCTGAGGGTGTGTTCGCTCGACGTTGCGTTTACCTTCGCAACCGTTCGCAACCGTCCGCGCGATTGCTATATGGCCGTGCCTCTGGTAAGTTCTGCAGAAGGGGTGCTTTTTGTAGGTTTCAAACGTCTCGTTGCTTCGTTTCGCGTGGCAGGCGTGGCACTTCGTGACATTCAGACGTGTTTTGTAACGTGTCGAAAGTCGTTTTGTGTGGCAGGCGCAATACTTTTGCGACGTTTTCAGAAGATGCGTTGCATTTTTTCGTGGCAGGCGCAGCACTTTGGACGTGTCCATCGTCATTTTGCGTGGCAGGCGCAGCACTTTAGACGTGTCGTGTTGCGTGTTTTTGCGAACCGCATTGGCAGGGCTGCGTCAAGTGGCGACAAGGTGCAAATTCCGTGGCAGGCGTGGCATTTTGTGAGATGTGCTGAAAATTGACGGAAGCCTCGCACGAAACATCGATTTTGAGATAGCAAAATTTCAGGTTCCTGAGAAAACTCGTAGGAAAACGTCGATTTTGATGCTACAAAGTGTCAAAATTGGAGGAAGTCTCGCACGAAATCCTTGTTTTGGTGCTCCCACGTGTCTCGTCTGGAGTCTCAGGTTTTCCTGTGGCTTCGCCGTGTCTATGGGGGAAGCTGCAAAACCTCTTCTTTTCGAAGGTTGCCACGCAGGTTGTCATGTCGTTTTGCGTGGCAGGCGTGGCACGTTGTGACATTCCAACCTGTTTTATACCGTGTCGAAAGTGTCAAAAGTGCAGGAAGTCTCGCACGAAATGCTCGTTTTTCGGCGCCCACGTGTCTCGTCTCGAGTCTCTGGTTTTCCTGTGGCGTCGCCGTGTCTATGGGGAAAGCTCCGCACTCCACACTCTACACTTTACGCTCCACACTCCACAATTTACACTTTACACTCCTCACTCCACACTCTACACTCCACACTCCACACTCTAAACTCCACACTCCACACTCTACACTTTCCACTCCACACTCCACACTCCACACTACACTTTCCACTCCACACTCCACACTCCACACTCTACACTTTCCACTCCACACTCCACACTTTACACTTTACACTTTACACTTTACACTCCACACTCCACACTCCTCACTCTACACTCCACACTCCACACTCCACACTCTACACCACACTCCACACTTTACACTTTACACTTTACACTCCACACTCCTCACTCTACACTCCACACTCCACACTCCACACTCCACACTCAGCACTCCACACTCCACACTTTACACTTTACACTACACTCCTCACTCCACACTCCACACTCCACACTCTACACTCCACACTCCACACTCTACACTCCACACTCCACACTCTACACTCTACACTCCACACTCCACACTGTACACTTTACACTCTACACTCTACACTTTACACTTTACACACTCTACACTCCCCACTCCACACTTTACACACTCTACACTCCCCACTCCACACTTTACACTCCACACTCCTTACTTTACACTCCACACTCCACACTCTACACTTTCCACTCCACACTGCAGACTGGTAACAGGGGAAATATGTACAAAACTGTTCAAATAAACTATTGCAGAAAAGTGTTCTGCGTGACTGCATATCCATGTGTTTCGGCATCTGTACCATTCACATATGTGTGAGCATTCGGGTTCGTGGGCTGCATCTTGTTTGTTTGTTTTGCTGAAGGGATTGGCTGGTCCCTTCTGTCAAGAGTTATGTATATGCAACCAAGGACCTAAAGATGTCGCCAAGGCTCACCAACCGTCGATGATTTCCAGGTCTTTGAGTCAGGACACCTTCGCTGGTGAACACTCGGGCTTTAAGGCGGGGTGCTGCGAAGCCTCTATCTTTGATCTTTTGAAAGAAGTCACAATGATTTTTTTTTACTTAGTTATATAAACCGTTAAACCTGTGTATATATATATATATATGATTTATTTCATTTTGTTTCGCTTCGACGTTTTCAAATGGGCGTTCAAATCGCTCAAAAACATGTCAGGTCCTCACAGTTGTGAAGCCAGCGCCGCAGTGCTGAGGCCATCGGTGACCGCTTTCTGCCTATCCACGAGCTCACCGTGGACTTGGGCTCCAGGGACTTCTGGTCCGCGTCACAGCGGGGCAATGTGCGGATGCGAAGGGTCCAAATCATTGGCACTAAAAATGGATAATCCGGATATTCAATGATAAAAAGCGATGGTTTGACAATGTTTGACATGTAAATGTCTCCTGGTATTATGGAGTGTTGTGTTGTGGGTATAGCGGATACTATAGTCCCAAGAGTCCACGAGAACAGATGATTTGCCCCACCCAGGCGGTACGGGGTTCAATCTCCCCCTCAGGTGTGCAAGTATCATGTTATGGTTTTATTTGTGTTCAGGTGGGGTCGAGCATCTGCATCTTCAACTTCAGCTTCAATTTCCTCCTCCTCCTCATCATCATCATCATCATCATTGCTTATATTTGTTGCCATGAGGTTTCAGCAGCAGATGAATAGGCATATTGTTCCAATTTAATATGGCCACTCACGCCATTTCACATTTCTAACTTTCAGGCATGGACATGCATATCCCAGCCAGCTAGTCTTGATACCTTCACCCTGGCCTCAAGTAGATGGTCGGCACCAATGTTGTGTATCCCCTGGTAGTGATCAGTAAGACTTGGCAGCCAGATGACTGACCTGTCGACTTGTTAAGAAATGCGGGCCAACGGCTCTTTACCTGAATCACCCAAAATTTCACCTGGTGCATGCCAATATTATGGCCA